ATATGAAAGAGTCTGGGAAAAGAGAGGCATTTGATTTACAACCTGCAGGAAGGCATTCTGGGAGCCACTGAAATGCATGCAGATGGAGACACTGCCCAGTACCTGCCATACCCCAGCTCCCTCCCATACTTACATGTCCAGTTAGAAACTATTCACCTCTCATGCTAACCCATGGATTGTAGCCCACCAGGCTTCTCTGTCCATGGAATTCTCCAGGCAACAATCCTGGAGTAGGTAGCCGTTTCCTTCTCCAGGGGACCTTCCCAACCGAGGGGCTGAACCCAGGTCTCCCACACTAAAGGCAGATTCTTTACCATCTGAGCCACCTTGGAAGCCCAAAGGAATCAGGAACCCTCATAAGACAGAAATATAGAAACTCAAAGAGGAGATAGCAAGGTAACCGGAAGATGTGGAATAGAAACCGATGGAGAGAAGAGAACTGAAGAAAAGGACAAAAATATTTCATAAAGAAGGACTAAGTAAAGTAAGGAAGAAAAAGGGAAACATAGGAAAAGCATATAACATAAAATAAAACTAAAGAAAGAAGTAGCTTAAACACACAGTCTTAAATGTTAAAAAGTCAATGAAGATTCACCAACACGAAAATCAAGTCCTACCAGGAAGAAAACCAAGTCAGCAAAGCAGAAGAATTATTTAAAACAATAATTGAGGAAAATATTTCTGAAATAAAAGATTCACTCTACATAGTAAGAGCTCACATTATAGTAAACATAAGATAAATGCAAGAAAAAAAATGTGGTCTTTCAAGATAAAAATAGAAGCCTTCAGGAGGCCAACACTCTCCCCTCCAACTAAAAAAGAAACAAAGCCTTAAAAAATCAGGTTGTAAGATAGCAATGATCAATGCCAGAAAATAGTGAAGCAAAACTTAGACACTCTATGAAAGAAAATATGCACTGAGGATTTTTGTACAACTAATTTGTCCTTGACCGAAATATATTTCTAAATGTGCAAGAACTCAAGAAATATTGTTTCTGAGAACTTTCCTGGGGAGTTTCCAAGAGACAAGATTTATTCAATCAAGAAATGTTTGTGGAAATTAGCAACATGATTATTACTGAGTACTGAACATTTTAATTGTGGAATTAAGTCTGATGAAGGAGTAATAAATAGTATGTAAATATGACCTTCTGCGATAATGTACAAATAGCAAAACTTCCGTCAGATAGGAGGATGAGGGAGAGAGGTAGATCAAAGAATAAGTCCACTGACTGCTTTATATATAATAGCTGCAAGTCAAAGGATATTTAAAACACATAAGGTTCAACAGAATTAAAAACTTGTGCATCAAAGGATCCTACCAGGATAGTGAGAAGATCCTGCTGAGAAGAAGCAACAAACCAGCTCTCTGATAAGGGCCTGTGACCCAGACTATATGAAGATCTCTCACCACTCCACATTCAAAAGATGAACACCCCAATTTAAAAATGGGCAAAGAACTTAGACATTTCTCTGAAGATACACAATTGGCCACTGAGCACCAGGTAAAGATGCTCAACATCATTAGTCATCAGGCAGATGCAAATCAAAATCACAAGATACCACTTCATACCCAATAGTGTGATTATAAGAAAAAAATTTAATGGAAAACGACAAGCATCAGCTAGGAGGTGAAGACACTGGAACCCTTGTACATACTGGGGAAGAAGTAAAATGGTGTAAACTCTGGAAAACAGCCTGACAGTTCCTCCAAAAGGTCAGCATAGAATCACCAGATGACTCAGCAATTCCACTCCCAGATGTATACGTAAAAGAACTGAAAACAGGAAGTTCTGGTCCATGACTGAGACACAGGAGGCTCCTCAACTCACCTCCACCCCTGCTCACACAAAGTTGACAGCTACAACACAAAGCCATTGAAAGAAATCCAGTAATGAGTTGAGCCAGTGCTACAGATTGGGCAAGCAAGAAAATACTCACATTGGAGAGGGTCTTGGCACACCCTCTAGCCATGAAGAACAAAGAAGGCGGCTTGGACAATTACAAGGGTTCAAGACACAACCAAGAGCTTGGGAGAGTGGGACAGCAAGGTTCCTCTCCTATACGCTGTCACATGTTCAAGACTGGAAGACGTTGCTATTTGATCTAATGCCCAGAAGCCAGTACAGACGGTGGAGGAAAGTGAAGTCTCCACATTGGGTCTTGCACATTTGAAAATCCCTTCCCCACACCTGCAGGTAGCTCCCTACTGGGCACACTCACTTTCACTGCAGGCTCCAACCCAGACCACCAATCCTCAGCTCTGCTAGCCCTGTCATCTCACCTCGTTATGTCCCAGGAATATCAGAAAGTGTTGCTGCAACAGTTTACTGGGAGGTCCTGCTCTTTACGCATCCCTCCTGTTGGAGTCTGAGATTCAGCTCCACTGGCAGGCACTCCATCTGCCTGGATGGCATAGTAACCTCCTTCCTGTGGTCTCTTTTGAAAAATAAATGATAAGCCAAACGCCCTGAATCTCTGATATGTTAGAATAACTTAGTGGCATGAGCCATCCTCTCAGTTCAGTTCACTTCAATCGCTCAGTCGTGTCCGACTCTTTGCAAACCATGGACTGCAGCTCGCCAGGCCTCCCTGTCCATCACCAACTCCCAGAGTTTACCCAACTTCATGTCCATTGAGTCAGTGATGCCATCCAACCATCTCATCCTCTGTCGTTCCCTTCTCCTCCCGCCTTCAATCTTTCCCAGCATTGGGGTCTTTTGACATGAGTCAGCTGTTCGACTCAGGTGGCCAAAGTCTTGGAGTTTCAGCTTCAACAGCAGTCCTTCCAATGAACACTCAGGACTGATCTTTAGGATGGACTGGTTGGATCTCCTTGCAGTCCAAGGAACTCTCAAGAGTCTTCTCCAACACCACAGTTCAAAAGCATCAATTCTTTGGTGCTCAACTTTCTTTATAGTCACCTCTGACATCCATACATGACTACTGGAAAAACCATAGCCTTGACTAGACGGAACTTTGTTGACAAAGTAATGTCTCTGCTTTTTAATATGCTATCTAGGTTGGTTATAACTTTCCTTCCAAGGAGTAAGCGTCTTTTAACTTCATGGCTGCAGTCACCATCTGCAGTGATTTTGGAGCCCAGAAAAATAAAGTCTGCCACTGTTTCCCCATCTATCTGCCATGAAGTGATGGGACCGGATGCCATGATCTTAGTTTTCTGAATGTTGAGCTTTAGGCCAACTTTTTCACTGTCCTCTTTCATTTTCATCAAGAGCCTCTTTAGTTCTTCACTGCTCTCTGCCATAACAGTGGTGTCATCTGCATAGCTGAGGTTACTGATATTTCTTCCAGCAATCTTATTTCCAGCTTGTGCTTCATCCAGCCCAGCGTTTCTCTAGACAATAAGAATTTGGGGGTAGGGAAGACTTAAGGGGTGGCAGGAACCGACAGTGGAAGGGGGACTTTCCTAGACAGACCCCAGTGACCTCATGGCTCTGCTGTCCATGCACTGGTCTCGCAGTCCTGTTCCAAGGAGGTGCCAAGGAAGTTCGAGTTCCTGGGAGGAGATACTGTGAGTGACTTCCAGAACAATGACCTGGAAGTCAGTCTCAGCTCTGCCCCGAACTTGCTGTGTGACCTCAGGAGAATAACTCTTCTTCTCTGAGCTTCAGTTTGGGGTTTCGATTTTTATTGACCTTGCTTGTGAGCAACAGCCAAGTAGCCTGTGTAGTTTGTAATCAGGAATAAAAATCAGCCTCATAAAACTTTCCTTCTAAATAGAGCTGCCAAGGGGATGCCAGAATTCCCAAAGTCACATCCGATCATGAACTACAGGGCCGCTCTTCTCCTGAGAGCTTAGAAGACAGCATGAGGTTAAACCCTGGGGAGCACTTCCTGACTGTGAGGGTTGTCCTGGACTGGAACACTCTCTTCCTCTCTCAGGGTCAGAGGAGGGGTCGCCTCACTTCCGAGAACAGGATGGGGATCACAGAGAAGCGATGTTCCCATGGAGGAGACGTCCCAGCCTAGTTAAGAATTAACTGTGTCCTTGAGCCAGCCCCCTCCCATCTACAGCGGACTGTTCCTTCATCTTTCAGATGGAAGGGCGGGGAGGATGTCCTTGATCTCCTCCTGTTCTGGTGAGTGACTCAGGTTCAGTGCGTTTCCACTTGGGGCCCCTTAGGACTCTGAGTGCCACGTGCCTCTCTTCCACCAAACACAGGAGCCAGATGATGTGAAATCTAGGCAGGGGGCGGGGGGCGGTGCGGGTTGGCTGAGATGACCGTTTGCTCAGGATCCCTTAGGGCCAGGGAAGGGGTCCCAGAGGCCACCTTCATCCTCTGTGACTAACCACCACAGACAAACCTAAAGCCTCGCTCTGTCCACCTCTGATAGCTCAGCCAGCTCCAGACAGAGGGCAGGTCTACCACATGCCACTGGAGGGGATCTTACCAAAGGCAGCGTGGTCTCTCTCTCTCATCCTACGGAGCCCGAGGAGAGACCAGGGCTGGCCCCACTTACCGTGCCAGCCTGGGCCAGCCGTCTCCAGCAGAGAGCGCTGACCCTAACGCGAATGCTTCCCTTTGCAAGTGTCCAGATCTCTGCAAACCCTTCCTGGACATTCAAACCCGACTTCTATCCTCCACACAAGGCATGGCTGGGTCTTCAAGATGTTAGAGACCCAGGAAAGGGACCACCTGACTCAATAACTCTTATCCTTCATACAAATGAGAAAAACTGAGGTCCAAACATGAACAAGGCTTGTCCAAATCACAACCCAAGTAGGAGATACAGGCAGAACCGGATTCCAGCCGGGACACCCAGGGCGGGTCCTCACCCATCATCCATTCTTGCACAAGCACCCTTGCACGGTGGCTCTTGGGCAGGGGGTGGGGCCAGGATGAGGCAGACACATACCACTCTGTTTATCCCCTCTCCTTCCTCCCTCAACTCAGTTACTCTAGCCTCCCCCAGGTTAGTAGGTGTTAATCTGGGGGCCTCTGGATTCTACCTTATCAGGTGTCGGCAACAGAAACATGAGGGCCCAGAGCCTCCTCCTCCTGGTGGCCCTCCTGGGTTTGGGGAGCCAGTTACCTGCTGCCTTGGGCAGGAGGAAGGGAGGTGAGTATGGGTAGGTTCCTCTGCTCCAGGGACAGAGGTGGTTTCTACCTTTTAGGCAAGAATAAGGGTTTGGGGGAAGGCAGGCAATGAAGTGTAAATGTGTGTGTGTGTGTGTGTGTGTGTGTGTGCACGCGCGTCTGTGCCCACTTCTTAGTACTTCCAGCAGCTTGCCTCTTGTCTGTACATTTTCATGCCTGTCAGCCTGCTTGCATGTGCAGCTGTAAATGTCTTCTTGCCAGTTTCCTGGTGCTTGCCTGTCTACACGTCTGACTGTAGGACTGTGTTCACACGCATGCATCTCCCTCTAGTTATACGTGTAGCTTTGTGCCTGAGTGTCGGTGTGATCTGAGTCTGCCCATGTATCCCTAGGGACGACCGCACACATGTGTGTCTGAGCCTGCATGGGCGTCCATGTGAGAACACGTGTCTTCCTATGCCTCTGCGGAGGGTTGGAGGGGACAGTTGTTCCCCGCTCTTTGGTGTCTCCATGGGGGTGTCTGGACCTGTGGGTCTGCACAGCAGGGAGATGATCTTTTCTGTCATCCTCCATGGCCAACTAAGTCTGGTCTGGCCTCCTGCCCATCTTGTTTGTGTCCTTCTCCAGGCTTCTCTGTCTCCCAGCCCAATCTGTGAAAGGGACTCCGGATTTGAGTAGGGGGCGTGGTCTCTGGGATTGGGGATCTCTTAGAAGGAAGCTCTACCTACCCTACCTCTCTTCTCCTCTGCCTCCTTTAAAAGGCTGAGTCTGACCTGTCAACAGATGGGAGAGGCTGGGGCTGCAGAGATAGCCAGAAAGGTGCCTCCCCACCCAGGCGATGCCTCCACCTCCATCCCTTCTGGGCCTGTAACACTCTGGGACACTGGTGTGTGTATATGACTGTGTCTCTGTGTATATGTCTGTGAGTGCGGAGCCTGGATTTGGAGAGAAGGTTAGGGAAGGCAGATGCAAACTTGAGAGTAATACACAGGCCAAAAAACAGGACCTGCAAAGAGAAGCAGCTTAGAGTTGATCAGGAGCCACCAAGTGGAAACAGGGTAGAAGAAGAGACCAGAGATGGGCTGGGACCAGACTAGGCAGGGTCTAATTGCCCAGGTGGAGATTTTGAATTTAAAATTGTTTTTTTATTCCTCTGGCTTTTATGTCATCTGAGTCTCAAACCAATCCTAGGAGGATGAAGTCTAGCTTCCCATTTCACAGACAGAAAACTGAGGCTTGAAGGACAAACCAAACTAAAACAACAGCAACAGAAAAAAGCCTTGCCAGCCATTTACAACAGCATGGATGGACTTTGAGGGCATTGTGCTAAATGAAATAAATCAGACAGAGAAAGATAAATACTGTGTGGTATCATCTTAAATCAAGCTCATAGATACAGAAAAGAGTTGGTGGTTGTTGCCAAAGATAGGGTGTAGGGGTGGGAGTGAAATGGGTGAAGGGGGTCAAAATGTACACACTTCCAGATATAAAATAAGTCACGAAGATATAATGTACAGCCTGGTGACTGCAGTTAATAATGCTACAATTCACATTTGGATGTAGCTGAAAGAATTGATCTTAAAAGTTCTCACCACAAGAAAAATAATTATAACTATGTATGGTGACCGATGAGAATGAACACTGTGGTGATCGTTTTGCAGGACATACAAAAATAAATCATCACGTTGCACACCTGAAACTAATACAATGTTACATTTCATTTTAGATGTCAATAAAAAATAAAAAACAAGCAAGTCCATTCCAAAATTTAAAAAAAAATTGCAAACGATGGGCAAAGAAGTATGGAGTGGAGAATTTAGATCGCGCGATCCCCAGGACAGCACTTATACTGAATTCTGAACTGCCTCCAGTGGCAAAATCTGGGGAGTTCTCTTACAGAGAAACCTGGGGGCTGCCCACCGGATGACGGGCCCTGCCTCCTCTCGGTGCCTGATCAGTGTCTGCACGACAGCCAGTGTCCCTCAAGGATGAAGTGCTGTCGCCAAGCGTGCTTCCTCCAGTGCGTGCGGAAGGTCTCAGGTAAGGGTCCCTCTCCACCGTGCTGACCGCCAGCCAGACCCCAAGCCCCAGGGCCGGGGCACAGGCAGGACTCCCCCGGTGCCTGTGTTGCAGTTAAGATGGGCAGATGCCCCGAGGACCGCCTGCGCTGCCTGAGCCCCGTGCAGCACCTGTGCTCCAAAGACTCGGACTGCCAGGGCCGGAAGCGGTGCTGCCTGGGTGCCTGCGGCCGGGACTGCAGAAACCCTGTCTGAGGTAGGGCTGTGTGTGCCTCGGGCAAACTCCTTCCCTCTCTGAGCCCAGCCCTAAGAGATCCCTCGAGTTCAACCAGCTGAACAGGAACCTTCCCAGAAGCCTGGGCCTCCTGTGGCCAGCACTGGAGAAGTGGATGGGGTGGGAGGGGTCCTCCTAGGATGACAGGAACTGGGTGTCCCTATCCTCCTGCTGAACTTGTATCACCTGGACCACGGCCCTAACGCTCTGAGCTTCAGTTTGCCCTTGTGAAGGAGGGTGGGGGGTCCTGCCCTCGTGGCTGGGCTGATGGGGTCTGGATGGGGGAATCAGACCCAGAACCCAGAGCTTTATTGTGGAAAGGGGGTTAACCTTTTCCTTGTCTCTCCTCAGGCTAATTCTGGCTTAGGATCCATAACTCGGAACCTCGGGATGGGGTTCTCTGCAGGAAGATATGAAGATGGGTGGGGTCTGGGACCTAGCAACCCAGACAGAAACCCCTCTGCCAGTGGAAATTCCAACCTTCTAATAAACACTGTTCTAGAAGAATTTTCCAAATGTCAATCTGTTCACAATGTTCGCCATACCTGTAAAATAGCATCATGATATTTTGTGTATTGCCTGTACTCCTATTGACCTAATGTTTTTCTTCCAAGGGACTCACTTTTGTATAAAAATAAATTTACTTGAAAAGAGAAACTAGATATCACTACTTTAAATGGGATAAACAGGGTCACTTGTCACAAACTGAATGTAAGTGTAAAAGCAGATGCAACTAAAGCAATGAAGTTCCATGTAAGTAAATCACATCTGATTAAATTATATGAAATAATAATATTAGATTCTGGCTAGATATTGCCACCTGCCAGAACTGTGAGCCTGAAGCCTGCTCTCTGTCTCTGTTGTGATAAAGGCAGATTAACGAGGGCTAAAGAGAGATTAAAGACACAGATCTCTAATCTGTGATATTCTTGTTGGTATAATCAGAAGGATTGAAAAGAACTTTCTCGATGCAAGAGTCACTGTTGTACGATGTTGCATCCAGACACACCCTAAGATCATTTCCACATTTGGGGAAACGTTGTCTGAACAGTTGAGATGTCATTATTTATGGGTGGGTGAGATGTCATTATTTATGGGTGGGTCTGACTCTACCATTGGATAATAAGTCACTGGCCTCTATTTCTTGTGGGCCTGGTCCATGGCCAGAGCTTAATGAGTGGAGGTGTTAAGGGAATGACAGCCATCCCAAGTGGCACTAGTGGTAAAGAACCTGCCTGCCAATGCAGGAGATGTAAGAGATTAGGGTTCAATCCCTGGGTCGGGAAGATGCCCTGGAGAAGGAAAATGGCAACCCACTCCAGCATTCTTGCCTGCAGAATCCCATGGAGAGGGGAACCTGGTGGGCTACAGTCCATAGGGTAGCAAAGAGTCAGACACTACGAAGCGACTTAGCATGCGCGTACCCAAGGCGCGCACACACACACACACACACACACACACAGCCATCCCAATGGACATTCCTGAGAGTGATCCCCAGCAGACAGCAAGCAGGAAAAGAGGGAGGTCCATCTTACAACCAGAGGGAAATGAATTCTGCCAACACTCTGTGAGCTGGAAGAGAACCCCAAACCCCAGATGAGAACCATGACCCTGGCTGACGCCTAACTTCAACCTAGTAAAATGCTGAGTAGAGAATCCAGCCATGCCATGCCCAGATTTCTGATCCACAGAAATTATGAGGTGATTAATTTCATATTTCTTCAAGTTGCTAGGGAGACCATGTTCCAATCCCTGGTTGGGGAACTAGATCCCACATGCCACAGCTAAGAGTGTGCATGAAGTGAAGTGAAGTGAAGTCGCTCAGTTGTGTCCAACTCTTTGAGACCCCATGGACTGCAGCCTACCAGGCCCCTCCATCCTTGGGATTTTCCAGGTGAGAGTACTGGAGTGGGTTGCCATTTCCTTCTCCAGGGGACCTTCTCAACCCAGGGATCCAATCTAAGTCTCCTGCATTGCAGGTGGACACTTTAACATCTGAGCCACCAGGGAAGCCCTGGTGTTTGCATCTGCAACTAAAAAAAGGAAAAAGACCCCACATGTTGCAAGTAAAAGAGCCCACATGTGGGGCATCCCTGGTGGCCCAGATCGTAAAGATTCCACACGCCGCAGCCAAGACCTGGCACAGACAAATAAATAAATATTAAAAACAAACAACCCCCCAAACTAATACCTGGATTTTGAAGACTTAGCACAAAAATGAAAATGTAAAATATCTCATTCATAATTCCTTTATTGATTCCATGTTGAAATTATATTAATAATATTGGGGTTAAATACAATATAGTAGTAAGACTAATGTTGCCCCTTTCTTTTGACTGTTTTTAAAAGTTGCCTTAATAAATATGTGGCTCACATTACATCTATCAGACGGTTATGTCCTAGAGGACTCAGAAGTCGACCATATGACCTTGAGCAAGTCACCTCACCTCTCAAAGCCTTACATTTCTTATCTGCAAGATTGGAATAATAATAATAGTGCCTATGTCACAAACATTTTGCAGTTTAAGAGATGAGGTCTATAGAATATTGGAACCAAGGTAAGTTCCCAATAAATAAATCATCATTATTAATAACAATATCTGTAAAGTAGGAATCCTTTCTTGTATCCAAGTCCTAATCTTCAGGACCAGGCACACAGTAGGTGTTTAATAAAAGTTTGTGGTTCACACACTTTGACAAAGCTCTTTGGCAGAGTTCTATCTTACCCTTGCCACCATGAATCAGGAATCTGTGGGCAGGTGAGGACACTGAATTTCGGGGGCAAAATGATTTGTTTCAGGCTTCCCTGTTTCAACATGTCCCTGCTGAAATATTGGAATGTGTGAGTCCCCATCCCAGGTCCACAAGGTCTAGCTAAGTGCCCTGAGCAAGTGACACTTGTGAAACAGGGAACAGAAGACCCTGTTGACAAGAACTTAGATAAGTCACCTGAAGCCCAGCCCCTGGCCCATATTAAGCACTCAACTAAGGAAGCTATCATTACTGCTGTCCTTCTCTACAGGGACCCCCCCACCAAATTACCCCTCATCCCCTGGCCTCTGACTTGGTGAGGATGTCCCGGCTGTGGGGGCCCAGTCTCCACACACCCCCCTTCCTCTCTCAACCGAGTCAGGAATAGAAACCACCGCTTCCGGGCTCCCTCCCCGGGCAGCAGCAGCGATCAATAGACCTGAGCCACCAGGGACGGAGGAAGGTTGGGCAGAGACTGCAGGCTGCAAAGGCGCAGAGGGGCCGCGGGGCAGAGAGATCCCGCCAGACAGCGGCTCTCCTGCCTCTGCGCCTTCGCCTTGGGGAACCACACAGCCCGAGGGCGCCCTGGAAGGGCCCCTACAGGTAAGGGACCTCCCTTGGGGGGTGGGAAGCGACGAGGTTAGGGGAAGGGACAGGGGCTGCAAGAATAGGAAGCCAGGCTGCCCCGGGGTTCCCAGTGCCCAAGGCCCCATGATGAGAACTCCCTCAAGGAGTGAGCAGTGTGGAACTGGCTGAGCTTTGAGGCTGTCCCATCGGCTCATCTGTACAGAAGGAGTCAAAAACCTCCCAGTCAGGGTTGGTGGAGGGATTAAACTCAGTGAAGTGTATCTAGAGCCCAGAGAATTGTCCAGCACATACTAGGTGCTCAAAATTAATATATGGAGAGTCTTGAATCAAAAAATCTAGTCTCCAGCCTCAACTGTGCCATGGGCTAGCTGCATAATAATTTTCAGCAAATCATTTAATCTTTCTTACTGATATTCAGATTCTTGTCAGAGAAGGTTCGTTAAATTATTCAACCTGTTTCATAGAGCAGGAAGGTGAGTTCTAGAAAAAAGGGAAAAGGATTTGCCCACAGTCATGTGCCTAATGGGTAATGGAACTGGAATAGAAACCCCATCTTTTGACTCCAAGTCCAGTAGAGGCATAGAGGCTGCATCACATATGTATTTATTGTGCACGAATTATGTGCCAGGAATGGTGCTGCCCATAAACAATCTGCCTCATTTAATCCTCCAAACTTCTCATAGAACCTAAGATGTTCCCCAGTTCACAGATGAGAAAACCGAAGCTCAGAGAGGGCCATGATTCTGGTCAAGGTCAACAGTTAGTAAATGGCAGATGCAGAATTTGAACCCAAGTCTAATGAGGGAAGTGTGATGAACTGACATTTATTGAGCATCTATTGTGTTCCAGGGGCCTCTGCACACATACTCACAATAACTCTTCACCGGAATGTATTATCTCCATTCTGTAGATAAGGGAGCTAAAACCCAGAGCTGCAGGAGACTGGCCAGAGGTCACACAAGTGACAGAGGTAAGGACAAAATCCCCACCTACTTAAACACCAGGCCTAGGGTGAGTGAAAGGTACTCTGTGTGCTTCCTGTCAGGCACTGGGCCAGCAGCTGGATACACACTCAGTCCCTGGTCCAGCCTGAGAAGCAGGCATTACTGAAGTAATCTCAGTAATCTGATGAGATTACTGAGGGTCAGGAGGTGAGTCACTAGCCCTTGAATCCAGCAGAGCTTGGAGACAGTGAGCAGTGGAAGGAGCTAACATTTCCCGAGTATCCACTAAGGCTGATCATGTCCATAACCTACCTTAATCCTCCAGCTTTTGAGAGCAGGTACTATTGTCTGCATTGTGAATTGTGCATCGTGCCAGAAATAGAAATCTGGAGAAAAGCATCTTCTTCAAGGCTCCAGCTGCATTGGGGTGGTGATAAGCCCAGGTTTGCCTAACTCTGGGAGACAGTAAAACAGGTGAAAGACTTACTACACCCCTTCTGGAGCCAGGCCTGCTAAAGGCGTTAGATCATTTAACTTTTTAACCATGCCTGGCAATGGTTGACAGAGCTCTGAAAGGTGACATGACTTCCTTATGGTCACACAAGAGTGCCAAAATTCTGTCTGATTGACTCTTAGGGTTGTTGTTCAGTCACTAAGTCATATCTGACACTTTGCGACCCTATGGACTATAGCCCGCCAGACTCCCCCGTCCATGGGATGTTCCAGGCAATCTACTGGAATGGGTTTCCATGCCCTCCTCCAGGGCATTTTCCTGACCCAGGAATCAAACCCATGTCTCCCGCATTAGCAGGTGGATTCTTTACTGCTGAGCCCCCATGGAAGCCCTCTGACAGGCTCTGCAGATGTTTTAAAAAGTCTAAGCCAATGACTCTCAATCCTGACCGTGCATCAGAATCACCCTCCAAACTTGTTGAAACACACACTGCTGAATCTCCTCCCCTGAGTCTGTGATTCAGCAAGTCCCCAGCAAGCTAAGAATATGCTGCATCTTTGACAAATCCCCAAGTGATGACGCTGCTAGCTCAGGGAATGCACCTTAAGATCTTCTGGTCTAAATTGATTCTCCCAATAACCCTAGATAGTAAGCATTACTATCCCATTGTGTAAAAGAGGAAACTGAGGTTCAAAGTACCGGCTTGTCCAAGATACTGTAGGAAACCTCTGGTGTGCAAAAATCCAAGTTTGGGCAAGGAGACATACTGTATGGGCAGCCAGCAGGTGCCAGGACATCCTGCCTTCAATAGCTCCAATCATCCAAGGTACAGCTCAGCATTTCCTTTACGTAAATGAAGGAGGCGGACTCGGTGATTTGGCCACAGACCCCCCGTCGGGGAATGAGAGATATTCAAACCCAAGCCTGACTCTTGAGGCCGGAGGGCACCTGACACTCACCGTGCGCCTATGGCACACCAGACGCTTGACACGGCGCCTCCAACACGCCTGGCTTGTGGATGGCGCAGGGGGGGATTTAGACCTGGTCTTTGGGGAAGGGGCTAGGCACTAGGGCTCCCCTGATGACTCAGATGGTAAAGCGTCTGCCTGCAATGCGCGCAGGGTTAGGAAGATCCCCTTGAGAAGGAAATGGCAGCCCACTCCAGCACCCTTTCCTGGAAAATCCCATGGACAGAGGAGCCTGGCGGGCTACAGTCCATTGGGTCACAAAGAATGAGACACGACTGAGCGACCTCACTTTCATTTTGGGGAAGGGAGGTCCGAGGACGCCCCCTTCAGCGTGACCCTTCCTGTCCGTAGGCCAGGGCGCCGCAGCCATGGTGAGCGAGTCCCCGGGGCCCGGCGCCCGGGTCCCCTGGCGGCGAAGCGACGAAGCGCTGCGCGTGAACGTGGGCGGCGTGCGGCGGCGGCTGAGCGCGCGCGCCCTGGCGCGCTTCCCGGGCACGCGGCTGGGTCGCCTGCAGGCCGCGGCGTCGGAGGAGCAGGCGCGGCGCCTGTGTGATGACTACGATGCGGCGGCGCGCGAGTTCTACTTCGATCGGCACCCGGGCTTCTTCCTAGGCCTGCTGCACTTCTACCGCACCGGCCACCTGCACGTGCTCGATGAGCTGTGCGTCTTCGCCTTCGGCCAGGAGGCCGACTACTGGGGCCTGGGCGAGAGCGCGCTGGCCTCGTGCTGCCGCGCGCGCTACCTGGAGCGGCGGGTGACGCGGCCGCGCGCCTGGGACGAGGACAGCGACACGCCGAGTAGCGTGGACCCGTGCCCCGACGAGATCTCCGACGTGCAGCGCGAGCTGGCGCGCTACGGGGCGGCGCGCTGCGGCCGCCTGCGCCGCCGCCTCTGGCTCACCATGGAGAACCCGGGCTACTCGCTGCCCAGCAAGCTCTTCAGCTGCGTCTCCATCGGCGTGGTGCTCGCCTCCATCGCCGCCATGTGCATTCACAGCCTGCCCGAGTACCAGGCCCGCGAGGCGGCGGCCGCGGTGGCGGCGGTGGCCGCGGGCCGCAGCCCCGAGGGCGTGCGCGATGACCCGGTGCTGCGGCGCCTCGAGTACTTCTGCATCGCCTGGTTCAGCTTCGAAGTGTCTTCGCGCCTGCTGCTAGCGCCCAGCACGCGCAACTTCTTCTGCCACCCGCTCAACCTCATCGACATCGTGTCCGTCCTGCCCTTCTACCTCACGCTGCTGGCCGGCGCGGCGCTCCGAGACCGGGGCGGAGCGGGTGGCGAGGAGCTGGGCGATCTGGGCAAGGTGGTGCAGGTGTTCCGCCTCATGCGCATCTTCCGCGTGCTCAAGTTGGCGCGCCACTCCACCGGTCTGCGCTCGCTGGGCGCAACGCTCAAGGTAGGGGGTGGGGGTTCGGGGAGGTGGGTGTAACCGTGGGGCGGGTGAGCAGGGGCCCTTCCTGGTCAGCGGTGTCCAGGCTCAGGATACCAGGTGTGCATTTCAACAGGAGGTCTTTCTATTATCCATTTCCCAGGGGAGAAGGGGAAAATCGAGGCAGAGCTTAACGAAACCAAAAACATACACACACACAAAAAAGATATTATTTTGGAGCTATCTGTCAAAACATCGTTGTTGTCCAGTCACTAAGTCGTGTCCAACTCTTTGCAAGTCAACCATCATAAAAATAGGCAAAGCAGGGTTAAATATGCAAAGCTGGCTTCTCCCAGTGAGCCTTTGTGCTAGCATTATCCAAGAACACAGGTATCATAGGTCTCTCTGCCTAGGCTAAGTCTAGCAGTGGGTCCAGAGCTAACACTTACTGAATGCTGCCTCTGTGCCAGTTTCATATCCATTCTCAACTTTATCCTCAGGAAGATGCTCTTATTTATTCCCTTCCAGTAGATGAAGAAGCTGAGGTCCGAGGGTTGGCTTTTTAAAGCCTGGTTGAACTTACTGAGCAGCCGCCCTGTGTCAGGCCCTGCACTGGGGGTGAATCCCTGCCCCGCAAGCTTACCCTCAAGGGGGTGAAATTGACCTGTTTGGAGGAGGGAGGAAATGCGAACAGCTTGGATGAAGGTCTGGAGAGGAATAAGGGTGATGCTGGGAGGGGGACTTGGAGGGAAGGACATGCCCACTGAGGAGGCTGGAGAGGTAAGGGGGGCAGGGTACTGAAGGGCCCTCAATTTTGTTTTTAAATGTTTTATTTTAATTAATTGGCTGCGCCAGGTCTTAGTTGTGGCACACCAGAACTCTTAGTTGGACCATGTGGGATCTAGTTCTCTGACCAGGGATTGACCCCAGGCCCCCTGCACTGGGAGCATGGACTCTAAGCCACTGGACCGCCCGGCAAGTCCCTGGCCCACAGCTTTGGATTTTATCCCGCGGGAATAGGGGATCCTGTGAGAGTTTTAAACAGGGTAGGTATTTCTATGACTACTTTGCAGATGTGGAAACTGAGGCTCCAAGAGGTGGCAGGACTTGTCAGAAGTTCCTCAGGGAGTAAGTGGGACAGCCCAGAGAGGAGTCCAGCTGGTCCTGACTCTAGCACCTCAGCTTTTTCTCCTGAAGGTCCATGCAACCCTGTTAAGAATCCCTAAAAAATGCTAAAAGGTCCCTTCCACGCATAGCTTAGGAAAACGTTCTGCATGCTCTTATGGCAGGGCAGCTAGGATGCTGAATGCAAGCAGGGCAGCTGGGCAGAATGCTGGGACAGGTAGATGGAATTCATTTGCCAGACTTCCTGAACTCAGCATCTCTCCAGTGCCCCAGAACCCTGCCTCCACCCTGCAGGGAGCCAGGGCCTGATGCTGCTAACTTTTTCAAGGAAGAAGAGTACTGACCAAAGCAGCAGAGTCTGAGACACGGGTGAAAGACTCCTGATGAGGCCCCTGGCCAGCAGCCACTTTCTTATTACCTGGGCATTTGCAAAATCTCTGGCTCTACCGCAGACCTGGGCTTCTCTGAATGCTCAGCAATAATCTGCCTGCCAATGCAGGAGATTTGGGTCTGATCCCTGGGTTGGGAAGATCTCCTGAAGAAGGAAATGGCAACCCACCCGAGTATTCTTGACTGGAAAATCCCATGGACAGAGGAGCCTGGCAGACTACAGTCCATGGGGTTACAAGAGTCAGACACAACTTGGCAACTAAGTAATAACCCCAGAAATACTGAATTGGTCCTCCCCTACCTGATTTCTCTCCACCTTACGGGCTTCTGTGGTGGCTCAGATGGTGAAGAATCCACCTGCAATTCTGGAGACCTGGGTTTGATCCCTGGTTGGGAAGATCCCCTGGAGAAGGGCATGGCAACCCACTCTAGTATTTTTGCTGAGAGACTCCCCATGGACAGCGGAGCCTGGCGGGCTCCACTCCACAGGTTGCAAAGAGTCAGACACATCTGAGCAACTAAGCACATCAGCAGACATGATGTCTCTCCACCTTATAGTTGGGAGGTCCTGTTCCGGACCAGGGGTTCTCAGCCCTGGCACTGGGGACATTTACGGCCAGATAATTCCTTGTTGGTGGGCCTGTCCTGTGCATTGTAGGGTGTTTAGCAGCATCCCTGGCCTCTACCACTGATGCCAGTACTAGATGTTTCTACCTAGATGCCAATAGCACACCTGCCCCCAAAATGACTCCAGATATTGCTGCATGTCCCGTGGGGGCACAGTCACCCTAGAGAATCAGTGCCATAGGGCTTGGCCTCAGGGGCAGAATAAATATAGATACCCACAGGCAAGTGCATTCAATAGGTGGTCCAGGGAACCTATGTATCCTCTCAGCTTCCTTGAGTGGCAGAAAATATTTTGTCCTTATCAGAACTAGGACAGACCAAAGGACATGAACCCACCTCTTTGCATTGTGGAATATAAGCTGTGGTTCTCTTGGTTTTTCAACAGTGGAAAAAATTATGAGCTTTCCATAACTGGCTGGTGTCACCAGTGGCCCCTGCACTAGAAGAAATAGTCATGGCTTAGCTGGCAGGCACCTTGGACAACAGAAATCAGGCCTGTGTTTAATCCTAGGGCGATCTGCTGGCTATCGTAGTTCAAAGATCTTAGTGTGAAGTAGGGGGACTTGGGTGTTGGCATCAGTTCTGCTTTGCTGGGTGACTTCAGGCCTGCCCCTAGGACTATCTGAGCCTCAGTTTCCACACCTGCCCAACACAAGGTCTGTAAGCCCAGCTGGCTCTCACGTGGCTTCCTGCATTCTCTTCCAGCACAGCTACCGTGAGGTGGGCATCTTGCTGTTGTATCTGGCCGTGGGGGTGTCCGTGTTCTCCGGCGTGGCCTACACAGCTGAGAAAGATGAGGACGTGGGCTTTGACACCATCCCAGCCTGTTGGTGGTGGGGCACGGTGAGCATGACCACCGTGGGCTATGGGGATGTGGTACCGGTGACGGTGGCTGGCAAGCTGGCAGCCTCGGGCTGCATCCTGGGGGGCATTCTGGTGGTGGCACTCCCCATCACCATCATCTTCAACAAGTTCTCCCACTTCTACCGGCGCCAGAAGGCTCTGGAAGCTGCCGTGCGCAACAGTGACCACCGGGAGTTTGAGGACTTGCTGAGCAGCATCGATGGGGTGTCAGAGGCATCTCTGGAGACCTCTCGCGAGACCTCCCAGGAGGGCAGGTCTGAAGACCTGGAGGCCCAGGCCTCCAGTGGGCCTCCAAACGCTCAGGTTTATTAAAACCAGGGCTCCATGTACCCCCTTCCCACACCCCTGCAGTCAGCTGAAATGGAGCAGAGATTCCTCCCCTGCTTAACTTCTTCGTGAATGACCTCACAGGATCACTCACTCTGGCTTCAGAAATGACAACTGGAGGCTGGGTCCTTTCCTCTAGAGACACAGGGAAGCATAGTGTTATCCTAGACTTTACGAGCCTGCAGAGCAACCCAGAGACCTTTATAAATGAACCTCCAAGCCACCTATAGTACAGGCATGAGCCAAAGAGGGAAAGTCAAAAGGATGCTAACAGTTCCTGAGCACTTCCTATCTGTTAGCCATGTCACATTGACCCTATGTTAGAAGATGAGAATTATCCCCATTTCACAGATGAGGAAACTGAGGCTCAGAGAGGCACAATGACTTGCCTAAATATTACACGGCTAAAAGACGTGGAGCCAAGGTTGGAATCCCAACTTGTTGATCTGCCAAGGCCAATATTTCTTGCTCTGGTCTTTCTTCTACCCTCACAAAGTTTGCAGGTGGTTTTAGGTGGTTCATGGACCCCCAGAGTTGGTTCATAGTGTTAGACACTTCTGTTAGAGCTAGGGAAAGGACCAGACAGGGGATTCAGATGTAGAATCCCTGGACCTCATCTGTGGTTCTTTTCCAGGACCTTCCAACAAGAGTTAGCTCTCAAAGAGGAGGTCTGGGAGGAAGGACTAGGAGACTGCCTCCTCAGTGGATGGGTAAGACTTGCTAAGCGATAGTCCTAAGGCTTCCTCCCAGAGCTGGCTTAAGATCCAGAAAATCTGAAGGGGCCCCGGCATGAGGCCTGAAGTCTAGACTCAGCTGTGCTAGGGCTGCTCCATCTCCACATCTCAGCCCTTGTATCAGATGGTCACAGTCTGTGCCCCAGAGGGAGATGAAAGCCAAATGGTTCAGGGGTGGCATTGATTTAGAGCCAACTCAGCTCTGAAGTACTGATGGCAAGGAGCTACTGTGCCTGGACATCTGTCTCCCCTTCCCAGATCCTCTAGGCTGACCTTGGCAGGTCCCTTCTCCCCGTGACGCAGACCTCCAGCCCTGCCTTGGGTCGCCAGCCAGGCAAATTCTTGAGCCTCCTGTTCCTTTTGGCCAGGTCCAGCTCTCATCTTCTCTGGGGCTATGTCTCTTATATTCACCTGCTGAATCCTCTCTCTACTTGCTGAGAAAGTTGGGAGGGAAGGGTTCCTGCAGCCCTTTCCACATACTGTGGCTAGGAGAGCCATCGCGGGACCATCATGGCTGGACTATGGCTCTGACCATCATGGCTGGACTATGGCTCTGACCATCATGGCTGGACTATGGCTCTGACCGTCTTTCCCTACGCTGAGCTCCAAGATGGAAGACTCTGTCCCACTGAGCCCGGCTTGGTTCGGACCAGGTGTTTTGTCAATGTTGAATGGATTGACCGATTTGTACAGTCCACTGTGTGCTGGGCGCTGAGGAGAAAGAAAATAGAGAACTTGTCCTCAAGAAAGAGGGCGGAGACGAGATCGAAAAGGAGGTTCTGCCTCCCTCCTCCTTGATTTTTGAGGATTTAAAAATGATTTCCTTATAGATTCTTTCCTCACTCATTCAACCAATACCTTTTGGAAGGGGCATACGCTGGGACTACACGTGTGGCCTGCAGATGTGTTTTGTTTGGCCGAACAGTATTTCTAGTATATTTTTTAATTCAGACATCATTGGGGCAGGCACACTCTCTCCAGTTCCCCATAGCAACCCCCACTTCCCACATACCTGCTCATACATACAGGCGCCACTGTGTCAGCCTCACCACTTCTCAGATCTACATCACCCACCTGGCTTTTGAATTATTAACTGCTTACTAGGTTCCAGAGATACAATGGGGAGGAAAATATATATCCCTGTGCTCATGAAACTTACAGACTAGTGGAGGAAGTGGATTTTAATCCAATAATCACATAAATATGTAATTGTTTTATGAAGTAAAGGGAACTGTAAGCCTGTAAGGGAGCAGGAGCCATTAACCAAGAAGGTCAGAGAAGACTTTTCTGAGCAAGTGGTCACCCCATCATAAGGATAAATACCAAATCAGGCAATGAGGCTGCCTGGAAGTGTGTTTCAAGCAGAGGGAACAGCATGTGCAAAGGCCTTGGGTCCCATACAGGGCCTAGGACACAGTCGGTCCTCACAGGTGGATGGATTCTGAGTCTCCAGATTGGAGCAGAGACTGGAGCTAAGCCAAGGGGCTGCCTATGAATTCACCACGCACACACCAGCCCTCCTACACACTCACCTAATTCCTAGCCCAGCTCTGCCCAGGTCAGGGCACAGAGACCGGAAGGGCTGCATGCACCACCCTTACGGTCTTGCTGGACATACCAAGGAGCCAGATAGCTTCCAGCCTTTGAGCCCCTAGAGCGGGTGTGAGGAAAGCTCAGGGAAGAATCATCTGGCCTGCGTCCATCAGGAGGCTACATGTGGTCCTGGCAGAAAAGCAACAGCTTACTCCCACTCCTGTGTATCAGTGAAAACCATGATGCAAATAAAGAGTCTGGGTCCAGGGACCTGTGTCTGCCTGTGTGAAGTTGACTGGCTGGTGTGCGTTCTGGATGACTGGGGATGGAGGGTGACACGTGGAGTGACTCAGAATCTGCAATCTCTGGTTCCAGTCTTCAGTTAGGCACAGGTTATAAGCGATGGTGGTGCTAGTGGTAAAGAACCTGCCTGCCAGTGCAGGAGACATAAGAGATGCGGGTTCAATCCCTGGGTTGGGAAGATCCCCTGGAGGAGGACATGGAAACCCACTCCAGTATTCTTGCCTGGAGAATCCCCATGGACAGAGGAGCCTGGCAGGTCACAGTCCATAGGGTTGCAAACAGTCAGGACTGAATTGACTTAGCACATAAGTGATAGGAACAGGAATCCAGCTGATTACTTAGTCAAAAAGCATAATTCGTTAGAGTAAATAATTGAAATGATGAACAACAGTTACAATTAGAGTTCTTTGTTTGCAAGCAAGAGAAACTGACTTCCTTAAAATGATACTTAATTTATTGGAAGGTATATTAGTTTCTGGTGGTTTCAAATTTTCTACAAATTTGATGAAACAAACTTGAAACAACAGAAATTTATTCTCTCGCGGTTCTGGGAGCCAGAAATCCAAAATCAGTGTGTGAGCAGGGCCACATTCCCTCCAGATGCTCCAGGGTGAACCCCGCTCCTAGCCTCTTCTAGCTTGTGGGGGCTGCCAGCATCCCTTGACTTGTGGCTGCATCACTCAAGTTTCTGCCTCTGTCGTCACATTGCCTTCTCCTCTATGTGTCAGATCTCCCAAAAACTCTTGTTCATAAGGAGAATTGTGATGGCATTTAGGGCCCACTAGGATAATCCAAGATAATCTCATCTCAAGATCATTAACTTCATCACATCTGCAAAAAGACCCTTTGTCCAAATGAGGTAACATTTACAGGTTCCAGAGATTAGGATGTGAGCATATCTCTGGAACCACGATTCAGCCCATAACAGGAAGGTATTGGTGAAGTTCACAGGGGACGTCTCTGGTGGTCCAGTGGTTAAGAATCTGCCTTTCAATGCAGGAGATGCAGGTTTGATCCCTAGTTGGGGAACTAAGATCCCATATACTTCGGAGCAACTAAGCCCTCTTGCCACAATTACTGAGCCCGTGCACTCTTACTGCTCTGCACGGAGAAGAGGTGTACCTCGATGAAGACTCACACAGCCAAAATCAAATAAAAAGTTTAAAAATGGGTGAAGTTCACCCAATCAAAGGAAAAGCTGGCCAGTACTCAGAAAACATAGGAATGAGGGGAGCTCTAGGGATCTCAGTGGCAGGACCCATGAACCTTCTGCTGAGGACACTGCCATTCAGATGATCCATGTCCAATCTCCTCCCTTCCCTGTATCCTTCTCCTTGTGGTCCCAATCCCAGGAGAGAGGTAGATTTGTCTAGCTTGAGTCATATGCCTCTCCCTTGATGGGGATGGAAGGCAGGGTACCTGGATAAACAGCTACAACAGATCACTTGGGGTGGAAGAAGGGTAGTTACCCAAAGAAAATCTACATGATGTCAGCAAAATAAAGGGGAGGAATGTTAATAGGCAACAATTGCAGGTGTAATTACATCCCAACCCCTGACTGCCCACCACATCATAGTCTCGCACCTTCTTCCCAATTTACACAATTTTATAAAAGTTTCTAACATGAGGAAACCATCTTGAATATAATTAAAAATATCCTTTTGCTCTCCAGGCCCTATTAATGTGACTTAATCAATGCAGTGGATCAGTTTGATGTGTGGAACAAGGATGATCAGGGAATCAGTCTTCCTGCTGCAGAGCTGGAGAGTTAAGGTCTGCCTGTGAGTTGGAAAACTGTTATCCTTTCAAGCAAACAGTAAAGTGCTTCCTATGGTTTCTTTTTCTTCAAATAGTGAAACCCTTAGATGTGTATTAGCTCCAGGGACTGTAATTAGGAGCGTGTTTCTAACACAGAAGCTAAAATGGGAATTGCCACTTGATTAATGTCATTTTCTAAGACTCTTCTCGTTTTGCACCAAACTGGAAAATAACAGTTTTGTTGTTTGTTTTGGTTTAAAGTTCTATTTAATTTTATTATCTCATCCTTTAAAAAAAATTTATGTGGCTATGCTGGGTCTTAATTGCAGTATGTGGGATCTAGTTCTTTGACCAAGGATCAAACCCGGGCCCCCTGCATTGGGAGCAAGGAATCTTAAACGCTGGTCCACCAGGGAAGTCCCCTAATGGTGTTTTGAATGGAATCATCACCCTGCAGGAGTTTTGGTAGAAGCACTAATCTTTCAGCCTCCCTAAAGATGTGGGATCTCTGTTGAGTTCTCCATTTTGAAACAGTTAATTGAATTCTATTGGCCTTTTGTATTATAATGGCCTCCATGGATCTGGAGCCAATGTAGGGATCTTTTCCAACTGTCACTCCGAAACTGAAGATACAGGATAGCTTTGGGATCCCACTAGACCTCCAGTGATAGGGACCAAAGTCAAAACATGGTTTTTCACATGATTGGTGGACCTACAGCGGTCCTCTGGGTCCCTGACAATTGGTAGTAGCTTGAAGTCTTCATCCAAAGTTCCCTAAAAGATTTGGGTCTTTCCGTTTCTTCCACACCCAGTTACCCTGGAAAATGGCCACAAGTCCTTCTGCAAGAGAAATGTTCACATTCCACTCATGCCGGAATCCTTCCTCCAGGTTAGTTGTGTATGCTTCATTCTATCAATAAAAGAACTCAAGACTGGGTGTTGGGTGGCGGTCTGTAACTATCATAGTGGCTTAAGTCAGGGCCCCATTCGCAATCTCTTATTTCAGATCAGAAAACAGAGACTCAGGGAGGTTCACAGTCATACTTGAGTTTGTCTGTGTGGAGATGGGCTTTTTAGCTCAAATAAGGACCAAGCAGGGTTTTCGAGGGCTTTCCTGGTGGCTCAGATGGTAAAGAATCTGCCTGCAATGCAGCAGACCCAGGTTCGATCCCTGGGTTGGGAAGATCCCCTGGAGAAGAGAAATGGCTACCCACTCCATTATTCCTGCCTGGAGATCTCATGGACAGAAGAGCCTGGTGGGCCACAGTCCATGCGGTGTTGGACCTGACTGAGCGACTAACACACACAGTCACACACTGTGTTCATACTGGAAAGTGGAGGTGGAAGGGAAGCTGGTTGACTCATAAGGTAATTTTTGAGGCTCTCAAGAGTAAAGATCATCCCTGGTAGCTCAGATGGTAAAGCATCTGCCTACAGTGTGGGAGACCTGGTTCAATCCCTGGGTCAGGAAGATCCCCTGGAGAAGGAAATGGCAAAGCATTCCAGTACTCTTGCCTGGAAAATCCCATGGACAGAGGAGCCTGGTAGGCTACAGTCAATGGGGTCGCAAAGAGTCTGACACGACTGAGCGACTTCACTTCTTATGGACTAATAATAACCACCCTTCATGTATCTGGCACACTACAGTTAAAGTGATTTGACGTCCATTATCTCATACCCTTCTCACAATAACCCTGCAAGGAAGCAGCAACGGTAATAAAATAGTGTAATCATTATTGGGCAGATTCAGGAAATTAGTCATAGTCAAAAAGTAGTGAATAAAAAAGAGCAGTGAATCAGGGATTCAAGCTCGGGCTTCCTAATACTGTCGTGTTCTCACCTGGCATCACGTCCCACTGTCATCACTTTCTCTGCCAAACTTAACTCCCCAGGGATCGCTGAAGGAAGTGACTTTGAAATGTGGGTCCCGTTATGAATTGCTTCTTTCCTCCGGGTTCTGGACGCTGTGCTTAGGTGCTGGCTGGGATGGTCCTTCATGACTACCAGCCCTCTTATTTCAGGCCAACCAAGTCCTGTGCCTGAGTGTAGAAAGAATTTTCCAGAAAGTTTTAATAAGCTGAGAAGCTAACCACATATGGCAGGAGCCTTTGAGATGAAAGGGACAGTGTCTTTCAGAATCATGACTGCTAGAAATGAGGAGTAGGACAAGGACAGATGTTGACTGGTGCTCTTGTTCCAAAGGAATAGGTTCAGAACCTTCAGGAAAACCATGCATTGAGGAGGGACTGGGCACAGCTTGCTCTTGGAGTCAGATCTGGTTTGGATATTGACCCTGCCACTTACCAGCTGCATGACCTTGGATGGGACCTGTTGGGTCTCCAAGAAGCCCATCTCAGGGTCAACCTCCAACCAGGTTGGTAGCCAAAGCCCAGTTCTTCCTCCCTTCTCGGATTGGTAATGCTCTTTCAGTTACGAGTGACAGAAACCCAACAAGGTGTCCAGAGGTTCTGCTGAGGTCACCAGCTTCTCTCTCCCTGTTCTGCTTTCCTGTGTTGGCTTGTTCTCAGGTGGGAAGGTATGAAAATTATCTGTATGGGATGGGAGACTATGAGCATTACTGTGTGGTTCAGAGGAAAGAATATGGGCTCTGACGCCAGAGAGACTTGGGCTTGAGTCTCTTCTACTAGGAGCTGTGTGACCTTAGTTGGATTTCTTTGCCTCTCTGAGCCTGTTCTTCACTTGTCTTGATCTAATAAACTCCTACAACTCAGAGTATTAATATCAAGTTCAAGTGAGATAATACATGTGAAAATGCCTGGTACTGTAATATTATATATTAACCCTCAAAATATACATAGGAAAGAGAGCTCGGCAACCCCTTTCGGAGCTCGTGTTCTCCTTAGTAAAGCAACTCTGCATAGAGGGCACAGGAAAGGAAGTAGTCAAGTCACATGTCTAGAGATCACAAGTCAGGCTCATTCTTCTACTCGAGGCCCCAGCTGGGGTCTCAGAATGAACAGTGAGGTCAAGAAACCGGAATTTGAGTTCAGACTCAATGTGGCCGAATCTGGGGCCTCAGTTACATCATTCATCAAAGCAGGATGGTGGCTGAGACAAATGCTGAGGGATAAAGAGTAGCTACCCCGTACGTGTGCACAGGGCTGGGTGGTGACCCTCTGACAGCCTCCATGTTATCAGGAATAAACACCCAGGCCCCATCCCACATGGCCC